GCAGTGCTCAGGGAACTACATGAGATGTCGGGGACAGAACATGGGTCGGCCAGTTCCCTACCCACTATCCCAAATCTCCAGTCCCCAGTTTCTTTTAAAGATGAGTCATACTGACTTGAGGGAACTGAACTGAATTGGGAGGGAATTTGGGGGAGAAGTGGAACAATAACTTTTGAGGACATACAGGAAGGTTGCCTGAGTCTGTGGGAGAGGTAGAGTAAGAAGATGAACACACATTAAAAACAAACAACAAACAAATGTTTCAGTGGTTGTTTGTACAAGTACGTATGTATTTAACAATGTCAGGATCAAACCCAGAACTTCACACTTGCAAGGCTGGGTCCTACACTCAGACCATCCCCTGCTTCCAAGGCTGTTCCTAATCCATATTTTTCGCTCTTGATAAGGTTAAATAGGTGATTCACTCTCTCCAGAGAAATTTCAGACTTCACAGAATTTTGTTTGAATTTAGCGTCCCAGGAAAAACTTGCCAACATAACAAACACTTCTACCGTGAGACCCAAATGACCTCAATGAGTGCATGTTCTGGATCTCGAGTCTTCACAATGTCCATCCTCCCCACTCCCATCCTTCTGTCAGGGTGTAGGCACCCATCCTAAATCATGGTAAAGTGGTCCAGCTTATTAGCATCACTGGCCATGTGAATCTGATGAGCACTTCCAGGAGGCTTGGCTGGCCTCTCACGTACATGTGGCAGCCCGGTAGTGAGTTGGGAGTCTGCTGACATGGCAGTTGTCTGCATCTGGCATCACTAAGTCCCAGGGCAGCATGAGGTCTACACTCATATAAGGCTGGAAGTCAGAAAACCTGAGTTTTTATATGCTTTTGTTTGGTATTTACTCTGTCCACCAAGGCTGGGACCCCTGACCTCAAACACACAAGGCAAGTTTTCTACTACTGAGCTCCATCCTCGACCCTACTATTGGTCTCCTTCATGACATTTAATGTTATGCAAGGTTGTTTTTTTTTAAAGAACATTAAATAAGTTCTTTTACTTCAGCTTGCTCTTCAAGTCCCCATTCTCCCTTGAATCTTACTTGCTTGTCTTTATGTATGTTTACTTGCTTATTTCCACTCTGATAAAGCCCATGTTCTCTTGAACACACACTTCTCTTTTCTCCCCTCACATCTTTCTAAGTTTCAATAAAAACCAGAGAGAGAGAGAGAGAGAGAGAGAGAGAGAGAGAGAGAGTTAAGCCCTTATGGCACTTTCAAAAACTGAGATGACTGGAATGGAAAAATATTGTTACTTGCTTGTTTCCATCACGAGGTACTGTAAGAATCTGTGGTAAGCTGTGGATGCCCTCCACCAGAATAAAATACTTTAACACTTGAGTATGAAAGCACACATTTCCCAAGGGGTTCACAGAATCCCTCAAACCTATGAGGGGGAGTAGGGAGCATACTCTGCATGCAGGAAGCTCAGTTTTGATTCCCAATGACCTGAGCACTGAGCCGGTAAGCAATCCTTAAGCACCACCAGAAGTTGTCAAGTGTAGTCAGAAAAACAAACAGAAACCAAAGTACAAATAAACTTTGTACTTTATTCCTTGAGTCAAGCCCACATACCACAAACTTTTTTAAAACATGAACAGAGGGGCTGGAGTAATAGCACAGCGGGTAGGGTGTCTGCCTTGCACACAGCTAACCCGGGTTTGATTCTCAGCATCCCATATGGTCTCCTGAGCACCGCCAGAAGTAACTCCTGAGTGCATGAGCCAGGAGTAACCCCTGTACATAGCTGGGTGTGACCCAAAAAGGAAAAAAAAAAAACCATGAACAGAGAGAAGCCAAAGAGACTGAGCAAGGTTAAGGCAATGGCCTTGCACAGCAGCACTCCGGGCCCCACTGGGTGTGCTCTAAAAACCAAAGAGTAAACTAATTAATAAAAATAACAGAGAGACCTGGATAGTTCAAAAGTCTGAGAACATGTTCTGCATGCAGGAGACCAGGATTCAATCCCCAGCACTGCGGGGTCCCATGTGCCAAAATAATAAATAATAACAACAGAGAATGCACATAACCTGAGTGTTTCACATAATCTGAAGCAAAACCAAATCACGTATAGAACTGAAAATTCTCTCCTGCAGTCTGGGAGAAGAACTGGCTACTGAGGGAATGATAACACAAATATCAGGAAGAGTTCATCTTGATTGGGACTGGACAGATAAAAAAAAAAGTGGGTGGGGTGCTTGCTTGTGTAAGAGGCCAATCAAGCTTCCTGCAAGCTTGATCTCTTGAACCCCACATGATCCCTAGAGCCCCGCCAGGAAAAACACCCTGAGCAGCAAGTGTGGCCCCAAACCCAAAATCAAACAGAAAAATTACTCTTGATGACTGAGGCCTGGTTAAGCCCTTCACATGGAATCAGTGTCTGAAGGTCCAGCTGTCAAGCTCAAATCTTGGCTCATCATAAAAAAAGTGAGGGGTGGGGAATGAAACCAGAACCCATGGGGAGTAGCTCAGAAGTACAGAGTTCATGACTTGTTCATGCATATCAGGCTCAAGTTCACACCCCAATATTGTATGGCTCCCCGAAGGAATACCAGCTATAGCCCTGGAGGCCCCTGAGCACCAACAGGACCCTCTGGGGATCCCCCTTACTTCGGGGCCCAAGCAGCTCCCCATCCTCCGGCCCACACGTTGAACTGCCCTGTCTTGGTGGCAGAGTTATGCCAGGAGCTGGCCCTGGACACCCAGGCACAGGCAGGGACAAGAGGTAGCTCATTCAAAACCTCATGCAAGGACCCCTGAACACTGGCCTGAACCCAACTCTGCTACCAGCACCTTTAGGTATGGCCCCTATTAAAAAAAGGGGAAGGTGCTCTTCATAAGCTAACACAACATGACAAAGTGTTCAGTGTGAACTTTTATTGTCAACAGTTCTAGGTGACAATGAATACCAATATTTTTAGGGTATTTTTTTAATAGGGGTCCGAGTGATAGTACAGCTTGCACATGGTCAACCTGGGTTCAATCCCCAACATCCTATATGGTCCCCCAAGCACCGCCAGGAGTGATTTCTGAATACAGAGCCAGGTCCCAAAACAAAACAAAACAAATAATGGGTGAGACTTGGAAAAATAAAAAGCTCTAGTAATGAACAACATGGAGATTTCAGCACTGCAGATCTGAAACCCGTGACCAGCAGCCTAGCTAATCTCTACTCTGAACAGGGCTTAAGACCCTGAGAAGTGCTTCCAGGAGGACTAAGGTCTGTGACACCAGTTCAACACCTGATAGATTCTCCTTGGAGACTGTCCACCACTCCATCAAAAACCCTTCTTGGCTGTTCATAGAAATGAAAGATTGCAAAGACAGAATTTGGGGGTCAAAGAGACAGTATAGCCAGTAGGGTGTTTGCTTTGCATGTGGCTGACCCAGGTTTGATCCCCGTCGCCACACAGCATCTCCTGAGCACTGCCAGGAGTGATTCCTAAATGCTGAACCAGTACTTCTAACCCCAGAGCACTGCCAGGTGTGGCTAAAAACAAATAACCCCCCCCCAAAAAAAAAAAACACAGCAAAGACAGGACTTTGCTCTCAACACACCAATTCTAACCCAAGCCTAGAACTCCAAAACAGGAAAAAGAAACCAACTTCCCTGACAGGGAAATTAAGCCTAACAAGGTTAAATCCTTTAAGATAGAAATAGCCAGCCCCAGCAGAGGCTGAACACCAGCCTTGAACTAATAGGGAAAAGGGAAACTCGAAAAAGACTGAAGACGCTTGCTCCTATTTCTGAGAGAACAAACCCCGGCCCTCCGATAACTGACAAGTGGAAGTCCCCATCACACAGTCCAGAGCGGCAGGGAAAGATAGGGTTGTGGGTCAGGAGCACCCCTGAGCGTGCAACACCATTCACACCCTCTCGTAAAGCGATGCGATTAGGGACTTCACACCTTTATACATTTAAGACTATTTCACTTTCATATCTTGACTGAAATCAGCTCCCATCCTTGATCTAACACGCACCATTCTTTCTTTGGAACAGGGGGCACGGGCTAGGGGGGTCCTTGGGAACAGACACAGCAGGGCAGGAAGCGCAGGCAGATGGGGGCCTGCAGCTGAGCACAGTCATTAGCTGAACCAGCCCTTCCCACTGGCTCCCCCATCCCTGGCCTGGCCCCCTTGTCAGGGGGAAGAGGAGCACACGTGCATCCCAAAACCTCTAGCTCCCGCTGCCCATACGCGCTCCTCTCCGCCTTGTCTCCTGCAGGAATGACTCCCGCAGCCGGGCCTTAGTTTTCCCGTCTGGAAAACGAAAGGCTTGGAGGAGATCACGTGGCGGTCTCGCTCCTGCTCGAAATTTCTGATTACCATTTCATTATCCGGCACGCAAACGCGCGCTGTCAGCGGGAGGAGCCTAGCCAGCCGGGCCCCGAGCCCCATCCCCTCGCATCAGGACCCGCGCCCAGTCCCCTCTCGCATCAGGACCCGCACCCAGTCCCCTCTCGCATCAGGACCCACGCCCCATCCACTCCATCACCCGCGTGTATGCCCGGGCCGAGCACGCCGCAGCAGCCGCACCCACCGGCAGGCTGTTGCTCTCGGCGGCGGCAACCCGGGTTCATCAGACAACCTGGATCTTGCCTCGGGCCTCCCGGTCATCCCCCACGAACCACTGCCCGCGAGCTGCATGACTAAACTCATGCCTGAAAACCAAAAGCCCGGCCTCGGGGTGAGGTTCCGGGGCACTTTTGCGGGCACGCCGGACTCCAGCCCTGCCCCACCTTCTCTCCGGGGGTATCTTTCAGCCGCGAACCCCAGGATTCTCTTCCACTCTCCCCCGGCAAAAACATTAAAAAGCCGACCCTTTCCTCCTCCCTCCCTGCCCGCCGCGGTTCCAGCCCACCAACCTCCCCACCACCCCCCGCGCCGGGCCCCGCGCGCTCCCCGCACCCCTGGGCAGCGCTGGGCGGCGGCCCCCGACCCGGGCGGCGCGGAGGAGGCCTCCCGCCGGGTCTCCTGTCACTTACAGGCGGCTCCGGGGCTCGGGCAGGCGTGGCGGCGCCGCAAGCAGGCGGGCAGTGGAGTTTGCTGACTCAAAGGCGCGGCGGCGAGCGCCCGGGAGCGCCCCCGAGCGCAGCCCCGCGCTGTCCGCGCACACAGCGCCCCGCGCCCGCGCTCGGCGCCCGCAGCCCGCCCGCTCGCCCGCCCGGCCCCGCGCGGCCCCGCCCCGCCGCCCGGACACGTGAGGCCCAGCGTGAGCCCGAACCGCCGGGAGGCGCTGCCGAGCGCCCGAGTCCAACCTGAGCTCGCCGAGGGATGCTCCCAGGCCCAGGCGGTGCGGGGGCAGCGGCGCCAGCGACGCCCTTGGGGATCGCCGCTTGAAAATCACCTCGGGATGCGGGGATGTAGTTAATCCCTAGGATTTGCAACTGTGAGGCCTTGGGTTCGATCCTTGGCTCTGGAGAGAAAGAGGGCGCGGGGGTCGGGGATTTTCTGGAATTTGCTAACTCCGTGGCTCCTCAGCCTCCAAGTTATGAAAAACGATTGATGGATGGGGAGATAATATGACGGAAAGTAGGATCTGAATGGGGGTGCATGCGTGCTTTCTGTTTCTTTCCTGGGGGGAATTTTTTTTCAGCTTTCTTTTTGTTGGTGTGTGGGATTTGTGTGTGTGTGTGTGTGTGTGTGTGTGTGTGTGTGTGTGTGTGAGCGCGTGCGGTCTTTTAGTTTGGTTCTTTTGGGGTTTTTTGTGGGTTTTTTTTTTTGTACGTTTGAAATCTTTTATAATAAATTTGGAAGAAAAAAAAAGACAGGATCTAGGGGCCACGAAAGCAATAATAGTACAGTGGGCAGGGCACTTGCCTTGTGCATTGGATTCCAGGTTCACCATATGGTCCTCTAATCCCTAAACTCAGAGCTAAGAGTAAACCCTGAGCAAGCTAGTTGTGGCCTGAAAATAAAATGGGGAAAATAAAATGGAATCCAGAGTCAATGAAAGGAATTAAAAGCATTTGGAGGCACAGATCCCTGAGCAAAGAACAGGATATAGACCCTGAGCACTTTCAGGTGTAGCCCCAAAACCAAAAAAGAAATTGTAGTGTGCAACTTGAATCCACATGATGATTTTAAAGTTGTGATATTGTTGTTGAACTAAAAGTCTGGGTGCTTAAAGCCCTGAACTTGGTGGTGGGAAAGATCTCAATGGGCTACAGGTCTGGCCCAATCCTGGGTACAATCTGGCACCACTGGTCTGCCAAGCACCTATCCTGGATTAGCCCCATTAGCACTGAAGAATATGGCACAGGCACCAAAAAATAAAAATAAAGTCAGTAAGAAGACAGAGTCCTTCCTCCATCTCTTGGATAAACTGCAAAACCCCTGCAGTGAAAATGCTAGACTTCTGATCTTCAGAAATTATAATCAACTGATAAGATTATCTTAGGGTTTTTTGCTTTGGGGGGGGGGGGTCACAACCTGGCGATGCACAGGGATTACTCCTGGCTCTGCACTTAGGAATTACCTCTGGCGGTGCTCAGGGGACCATATGTGATGCTGGGAATCGAACTCAGGTCGGCCGCGTGGAAGGCAAATGCCCTACCTGCTGTGCTATTGCTCCAGCCCCTACCTTAGGGTTTTTTATCTTAAATTTACCTGAATAATCCTGCATTCTTGAGAAACACAGGCATGGCAATGTTAAAAACAACTCAGTGTCAGTGAGGCAGTGCAGGGGTTATGACAGCTAACTTGGGTTTAATCCCCAGATCCATCTGTTTGCCTGAGCACCACTGGGCATTTGCCAACTCACTGGTTCACCACAATAATAATCCAAACAAGTGTGAGGATCTAATGATTCATGACTGTGGGGTCCAGGGACATAGCTCAGTGGCTGAATTCAAGCCTTGCATGCAGGAGATGGGTTTTGATCCCTGCACTGCATGGTTCCCTGAGCATTACAGAAGTGGTAGAGAGGTGGAGAAACTGTGTACATCAAAATCATAAATGTTAACATTCTGTAACCATGCTACCTAACATTTTATTTATTTATTTATTGAAAAAAAGGGTTAGGGACACCTTACATAGCTCAACTATGGAGGGTAGTAACTGTGCTCAGGGATCACTCCTGCCAGGACTTGGGGGACCGTATGGGGTGCCAGATATCGAACCCTGTTGACCATAAGCAAAGCAAGTGCCTTATTCATTGTATTCTCACTCTAGCCCCTAGCTCAGTTTTGTTTTGTTTTGTTTTAAGGCCACACCAATGACATTTAAGAAGACGGAACCCATATAAGTGGTTTCACTTTGGTTATTCTTGTTCAATTTCTTTGTACAGAACTTGGACTCAAGGTTTCCTGACTTAGAGGGTGTTCAGCAGACATGGGAAATAGACCCCCAGGGCTGGAAGCCTGATATCATTAAGAAGAGCTGAGGGGTCCTAAGTAATAATACCATGTGTAGGGGCTTTGTCTTGCAAGAAGCAGACCCAGGTTCGATCCCTGGCACACCAAATGTCCCCTGAGCACTGCCAGAAGTAATTCCTGAGCGCAGAGCCTGGAGTAACCCCTGAGCATTGCCAGGTGTGGCCCCCCCGCAGAAGGCCTGGGGTTCGGATAGGAAGGACAGCCTGAAATTTCATTTTTCCTTGGGTACTACAGCAGAGATCTGAGAGCTGACTCCAAGCGGCTGAGGGAAATGAAAGCTTTTATAGCAAGGGAGCAAAACGGGAAAAAATTGAATTCATTGTGGCAAGGTGACCTTCAATTGGGGAACCAGAGGGGCCTTTTAAGCAGATTAACTCTCCTGCCAGCCAGATTGACAGGTTTAAGATTCCAATCCCAGAAAGAGAGGCTGAAAGTAAATTAAGTCAGGTATTAAACGTGTTTGGTGACATGGACCTTAGCATAAGTAACTCCATTTTCCTCCTATTGTCTATTTGTTTTATCAAGTCTAATGTGTGTTTTCCAAGTGCCTTTCTTATTTATATGTTGTGCTCAAAAAACAAAACAAAAAGCAAAACAGGAAACAAAAACTAGAACAAAGTTCTGAGCCTGCTTACCTGTTTGTAAGACAGACTTGTTAAGTAAGATTTCTTACCCATCTACCACCTCTCCATTTCCCTAATTTCTGTTAGTGGACTATTCTCTCTGTGAACACCCCAAATCTTCTAACTGGTTCTGCCTCTGACCTACTCCTTTTCCTTTGTGATCAAATAATCAGAACTCGGTGCCACTCGGCTCTGCCTTTCCCTCTCATCAAAACTAAGAGTGAAAGGCCAGGGGAGAGGCTGGAGCCTGGAGCCCAGGCCAGGTATGCCCAGTCTCTATGCCCAGCAATGCAAGACCTCTCAAGCACCACCTGGTATAGCCTCAGTGGGCCCCAGCGTTGCTAGGGACACTTCCCCCAAATAACAGAAGGCAAACAAAAAATGAAGACTGATTGTCTAAGATTTGAAGAAGCAAAAGAACACGCTGAGGAAAGTCTATTTGGATAATGCCTCTCAGGCATTATTCAGGCTTTAATTAGACCAAGATCAAATCTCTGACTGAGGACCAGAGAGCTAGCTCAACAGGTTTAGACATTTGCCTTGCACACAAAAGAGCCCAGTTCAATCCCGGACAGCAGCACATAGTCCTCTGCCAGTCCCAGGAGTGATCTGTGAGCGCACGATTCGGTGCAGCCCCAAAACGAAACTCAAACTTCTTTGAGCTAAGAACTCTAAACCCTCAGGACTAGACAGAACTGAGCAGTAGAGATCCACGAAGGAGCCCTCTTTGGCTTAGTTCTGTTGTTTGGGCTGTTTGGTTGAGCACCTTACCCACTGTACTATCACTTTGGTCCCTCTGGTTTAGTAGTAGTAGTAGTAGTAGTTCTTCTTCTTCTTCTTCTTCTTCTTCTTCTTCTTCTTCTTCTTCTTCTTCTTCTTCTTCTTCTTCTTCTTCCTCTTCTTCCTCTTCTTCCTCTTCCTCCTCTTCCTCCTCTTCCTCCTTTCCTTCCTTTTCTTCCTTTCCTTCCTCTTCTTCCTCTTCTTCTCCTCCTTCTCTTCCTTCTCCTCCTCCTCCTCCTCCTCCTCCTCCTCCTCCTCCTCCTCCTCCTCCCCCTCCTCCTCCCCCTCCTCCTCCTCCTCCTCTTTTTTTTTTGACTTTTTGGATCACACCCAGCTACACTCAGGGTTACCCCTGGCTCTGCACTCAGAAATTACTCCTGGAGGTACTCAAAGAACCATATAGGATATGGGATGCTGGAGATTGAATCCAAGTCAGTTGTATTACAAGGCAAACACCTTCTCCACTGGACTATCTGGCCCCTGGTTTAGTTCTTCTTGCCATGCTGCACAGCATGTCAGGCTGCTTCTGCACCATTCTGCATGTGCAATTGTGTGATTGTGTTTGCCCATTGTATGTTTTCAGTCATGCATGTTCACAGACCCCTCTCCAAAACAGGCAAGATTTTCCCTGGGAAACTCCTCCCTCTGTAGAGACTCAGCATGAAGCCAGACCCTTCCCTGCTCTGAAGCTGCCTCTGCTCGCTGTGCTGGCAGCACCAGCCTCCCACCTTCCAGGCTGTCTTGCCAATAAAGGTCTTCTTGTGGTATTTCTCACCAAGAGCCAGAGGCAAAACAAGTGGGAGGTTTGCAATGTGCCAGCAAACCAATAAGAGTGCCTGCTCCGAAGACTGGGGTCCTCAAAGAAAGCAGAGAGCTCAGTTTTATATAATGTCTGATGAAATGTGTGTGTGTGTGTGTGTGTGTGTGTCTGTGTGTGAGTGTGTAGGGGAGGCGCATTTTCAGGCAGCTGGCAGGAGAGAATGGAAGCAGAAATTCCCAAGAATATTGTCTCGCAAAGCAGGGTCTGGACCACCTCGAGGAAATGAGCAAAGCTGGTACATCCCCCAGGTCACATTGTGTTCCTGAGGTCACAATGCGAGACTAGGACCATCTGAAGGACATCCCAAATGCATTCCATAGTTATGTCATGTTGCCCAGACTCAGTTGCCCTGTGGCAGATCTTTGGTGTTAGCCTCTTTGGAATGTGGGCAGGGGTCTCTTTTTCTAGTATCTTCTAGACAGCTTATAACAGAGAGACAGGGCTGTTGGCCTCATGATGGTCCTTGAAGGTCTAAAGTTCTTCCTTGTCTTTTTTACAGCAACTCCCAGTTCAGCACCCCACTCTCCCCTATTCAACAGTGGAAGCTGCACAAGCTGCGCAA